TCCGCAAAGAAAGAAAAAATGTAGGTGTTGGATCTGCAATGAAGAAGGACACTATGCCAATGAATGTCCAAATAGAAAAAAAAATACACTGACAAAGCCAAGGTTTTACAAACCACTAACAATGGAGGTTATGAAGCTCTTGAAGAAGAGTATGATGGTATACAACATGTTTTTACATATCATGTTGAGACTGAATCTTCATCAGACATTGATGAATACGAATCAACAACGGATGCCTCAGACTAGTCCCATACAGACCCCAATTTTCAGGGAGGAGGAGATTAAACATTTTTGCGCAAACCTCCAGAAGATTGATGATTCCCTTATCATGAATCTTACTAATCCAAACTCTATTTATGTTTCTGCCTTCCTTAACTTTAAAGGATATAAAAAATTTAAAGTACATTATTTTGTAGACACAGGTGCATCTTTATGTCTTGCAAGCAAATTCATCATTCCATATGAACTCTGGGAAAACGCTCCCAAAGAAATTAGTGTCACTATTGCAAATGGTGAAACCATAAAAATTAATAAAGTTTGTAGAAATATTAATCTCGAACTTTCAGGAGAACATTTCAACGTTCCCACTATTTACCAACAAAATTCAGGAATTGATATCATAATTGGTAACAACTTCTGTCAACTCTATGGACCATTCATACAATGGATAGATAGAATTTCCTTTCATCTTAATAATGATATGGTAATTGTAAAAAAGGTTACAGGAGCCTATAGCAAAGGAAAACCAGGTTTTCTTGAAACTCAAGAAAAAGGTTCTAAAGAAAAACAAATTACGGGTACTAATATAACCCAAGAAGGGATTAATAAAAAAAGGATTATTTCTATTTAAACTACCAGGTTCAAACAGATCGAGGATCTTCTTGAAAAAGTTTGTTTTGAAAATCCTATTCATCCAAATAAAACCAAAGGATGGATGAAAGCTTCAATTAAGCTTATTGATCCCAAAACGGTTATTAGAGAAAAACCTATGGTTTACTCTCTACAAGATAGAGAAGAATTTTCCAAACAAATCAAGGAATTACTTGATATGAGACTAATTATAGAATCAAAATCCCCTCATATGTCTCATGCCTTTCTTGTCAATAAAGAAGCAGAGAAAAGAAGAGGAAAGAAGCGCATGGTTGTCAACTACAAAGCAATCAATGATGCAACTATTGGAGACTCATATAATCTTCCCAATATGCACAAACTCTTGACTCTTCTACGAGGAAAGAACATTTATACAAGTTTTGACCACAAGTCAGGTTTCTGGCAAGTTCTACTTGATGAAGAATCACAACTTCTCACTGCCTTCACATGTCCTGATGGACTCTTTCAATGGAAAGTACTACCCTTTGGGCTTAAACAAGATCCTAGTGTTTTTCAAAGACACATGCAGAATGCCCTTTGAGGCCTTGAAGGTTTCTGCACTGTATACGTTGATGACATCTTGATGTTCAGCAAAAATGAACAAGAACACTATGTTCATGTCACACAGGTTCTCAGAACTATTTTAAAATATGGAATAATACTTTCAAAAAAGAAAGCTCATCTTTTTAAAACAAAAATCAATTTTTTTTGTTTAGAAATAAATGAGGGTACTCATTGTTCTCAAAAGCATATTTTTGAACATTTACATGACTTTCCAAATGTTTTAGAAGACAAAAAGCAACTACAAAGGTTTCTTGGTGTTTTAACTTATGCTGAAACATATATTGAAAAACGTGCAGCCATGAGAAAACCTTTATAGGCAAAATTAAAAAAATATGTCATTTGGAATTGGTCAAGTGCTGATACAGACTACATCAAAAAGATAAAGAAAGTTTTAATCAATTTTTGCAAAACTTTATCTTCCAAACATTGAAGACAGTTTAATTATTGAAACTGATGCTTCTGATGAATTTTGGGGAGGTCTTTTAAAAGCTAAAAACCCCAAAAACGAAGAACAAATTTGCAGGTACACCTCTGGCAATTTCAAAGCAGTTGAGAAAAACTACCATAGCAATGAAAAAGAATTACTCGTTGTAAAAAGAGTTATTACAAAATTCTCTGTATATTTAACACCAGTAAAATTCCTGGTTCGTACAAATAATAAAAATTTTACTTATTTCCTCCGAACTAAGATTTTAGGAGATCACAAATTAGGCTGGCTAATACGTTGGCAAGAGTGGTTCTCACGATATACATTCACTGATGAACATCTTGCAGGAAGCAAAAACGTACTGGAAGACTGCCTCACCCGTGACTTCAGGTATACCTTACATCATCCATGATCTCACTCGCTCCTCTCGAGCCCTATAAAAGGATATGATCCTCATGACATATTTACTTACAAAAACTTCACCTACAAAAAAGTGAAGGGGACATTAGAGATAAAAGTAAACAAAAATTGAGTTTACAAAAAATGGAAGACCTCAACACTTTGAGGATAAAGAAACAAATGCTCCTCATAGAGCTATCTGCAATTGAGCAGAAAATCAACTTGTATGAACAAGTAACAATGTTCACCAATGTATCGGAAAGCGAAAGCTCAAAAACAAAGGCTATTCCAGTGCAAACGACACCTGGTAAAGAATCAACAAATCCGTTGAAAGCTGATGCTTTGCTAAAAAGCAGAATAAAGGAGACAACTACTCCTCTTCCTAATGGAAAAACTAGCTTATTGGTTAATCCCAATCCTTGTACTGAAGGAATCAGTAAAATGACAACTTTGTCACCCACTAACAAATCTGTGCAGGAGTTTACACCAGATTACAAAAAAGCTCTTAACAAAGAAGCTGAAAGATTCTATGTAATCTACAAAGGACCCCATGCCGGTGTTCATACTGACTGGGGAATTACAGAAACCTTCTGTAAAGTTGATAAAGTTACTTGCAAAAAATTCAGAAATGAAGCATCTGCAAGATTAAGCCTTGCCACTTATCAAGACGATAAATCCAAGACTAACCAACCACTTCTTCGACCAAAAATTCAAAAAGTCAAAGAAGCCCACAGAGACCAAAGGTTTGACATTCCAAATGACGTTCAACAAATGGTTAACTATCCTGAAATCTCTTTTGAAGATTTCAGAACACTCTGGAAGAAAGCAAGAGCTGCATGCCCAGAAGACCTTGTTCATGAAAAGTTTTTCACTACGGACAAGAAAACAAAAAGTTTGTTCAACTTCCTCGAAGGAGCAGATGCAAAATTAGTCTACCAAGCCTTTCAAGCTGGACTAATCGACAATATCTACCCAAGTTGCAACCTTCAAGAACTCAAATTCTTCCCAAGCAGCATGGTAGAATCCATTAAGAACTTTCGAAAGAAAGTACTTAAAGAAAAAGATAATCCGATCTACATCAGATGCATCTCTTCACTCCTAGAATGGATTCAAGAATCAAATCTTTCTCCATACCACTTTCTGGAAATTGGTCTTTCTAAAGCCAATAAAGAAATTGAGCAATCTCAACCAATGGAAGATAAAGATCTACCTTTCACAGAAATTCTTCATCCCAATCGCATCAATGGTTTAAGAAGAATCTCAGAAAAAATCATTGAGATTATCTCTGGTTTAAAAAAGAAGATTAATTATACTGACTCACATAGTATAATTACAAGCTGGAGTTATAATAACACTAGCCAAGAAGATCTTCGTCAAGCCTCCAAGTTTGGCGAAAAATTCATGAACAATAGAATGGAAGTATCCAACGCTACACACCAACACTTCCGCCGACATGCAGAACAACTTTTCGAAGAACATCTTTGTCACTTTTGCGAAAGCAAAGATTCGGAGACAAAGGAGGGGCCCTCCTCTGAAAATGACAAATCCTCATCATCTTAAAGAAAGATGCTTCACGTGTCAAATGGCCCCCGCCACTCAAAATAATAATGCCTTTTCTTCATTATTAAAAGATTCCTAGTTGTCCACAATAATGTAATCTTTAGTGGATAAAAACGTCATGCCTGACATAATAGGCAAAGATCAGACCCTCTCAATGTATCTATCAATTGAGAGTTATGTTTTGTTTAGAGGGATCGCAATAACGAGTGCAAGAAAAAACAATCTCTATCTAGTAAATTTTCAGGTCAATGTCTAGTGAGTAATTCCTCCCTTAGAAGGGAGAAAATGTAAAATATTGTAAGAGTTTTCCCTTTTTGGGAACTCTTTTATCAATAAATCTTTGTTTTGTTACTTTTGAGTGTTCATACAAATTAGAGTCATGAAACTTGTAAGTGACAGAGTGTCAGGTCGACGATGATTAACAGTACCATAGGCACGATGCCAACAAGGAAAGCAACCACACAGACCAAAGAACGACACAGGCTGGCTTGAATAGTTTCTATCTATGTAAGTATAACACTCACTACATTACAACCACACATTTATTGATACCAGAGTCCTCTTTTAACATATATATATATATATATATATATATATATATATATATATATATATATATATATATATATATATATATATATATATATATATATATATATATAAGTGAAGCTTCATATTTTATGGATTTGTTCAGAAAAAATTATGGTACTCTCTATTATTTCGACTTCTAATTGTTTCGTATAAATGAAAGCGATTTGATTGTTTATCCTTGATTGAGTTTCATGAAAGCATATATTTAAGGTAGAAATGATAACCAAAGAAAATGAATTTCACGATCAATCAAAAAAGCTATATTCATGTTACCATACGATCGTGGTTCATGCCCATAATCTAATATTCCTGTGTGTTTTGACTAACATAGTGTCATCTAAATTTTGTGATTTCATTTGTTGAACTATTGATAATATTTTAATTTCTAATATATATATATATATATATATATATATATATATATATATATATATATATATATATATATATATATATATATATATATATATATATATATATATATATATATATATAAAGAAAATTATTATGTATTAAATAATCCTTAACACAAAACATATAAATAGAAATAAATGATTTCAAACTAGAATTACATATGCTTTAGTTTGTGTTACCAAGCACTTGGAACTAAATACAACTCATGTTTCCGTTTAAGAGCTGCTCCAAAACTCTCGGTCATATCTAGGTGTTCTGATGTTGCTCCATCTGGGAGTTCCCAATTGAAATGGTGAAGAAGCATAGCAAGTGGAAGCTCCACGTTGATCAACCCCAAATTCATGGCAGGACACATTCTTCTTCCAGCCCCAAATGGGAGAAACTCGAAATCTTTTCCTAACATGTTAATTGCATTATCACTAAATCGTTCAGGTATGAAATTGTTTGGATTTATCCAGTATTTTGGATCACGTCCTATTTTCCACACATTAATCATAACTTTTGTATTGGCAGGAATTTGGTATCCACCAATCTCAGACTTCACTCGAGCCTCCCTAGGGAGTAACAAAGGAAGTGGTGGGTGCAACCTTAAGGTTTCCTTGATTACTAGTTTTAAGTAGTCAAGGTCTTGAATATCTGACTCATAAATCCTTTCCCTTCCCTTTAGTACATGCCTCAACTCTGCTTGCACTTTTCTCATCACCTTTGGATTTTTAATTAGTTCTGACATTGCCCACTGAAGTGTCACGGCAGATGTATGTGTGCCAGCGGAAAACATGTCCTATGCCATAATAAAACAAAATTATAGATTAGAAAATGAATAATACAGGTAATTTGTAATTGGTATAGACTTTAATAAGATGAACATCGTTATTGTTATTAAGTATTGACCTTATTTTTTGTTGGGCCTTTTATCTAGCCCTTTAGTTGGGTTAACCCGGATAGCTTTCTTGTATATAATTATCTTTTCCTTTATATTATAATTATCATTTCCATGATAATAAAACCATAGCCACTTCTTGTCTTTGCTATTACTTTAACATGATATCTAAGCATTATACGAACCTTTAGTGTTCACCACTGTTTTGGTAACTTTCCATCTTTTCTTTATTCGCTCGATTGTGGTTAGTTGGTTTTCGTTAATTTAAGAATTTTTAATTGTAGTTATTTTCTTGTTCGTCTTTTTCTTCATATTTGATATTGGTATTCGTTTGGTTTGATTATTGTAATGCCCGTAAATTGATGCTAGTCAATTCAGAGATGATAAGCGCTAAAAATGACTTTTTAATAGAAGATTATTTAGGATAAATAATCTTAACAAAGTTATAGCATATGTCAGAAGAATTTTGTACATACAAAGAACATTGAAATCTAACTAATAACAAAGAAGTTATGACCCATCGAAGTTTTATGATTAAACCGACATGACATCGCGTAACGTAATAAGTGAATTTTTGATAAATTACTTTTTAGCCTTAGAGATCTAAATGAAAGTCGTATTAGAGGTTAAAATGAGAGTAGGCATATAGAGAACGTCAAAATCTGACTTCGTATGAAGAATTTATGATTTTTCTAAGATTTTACATAACAATATACAACCCGGAAATCAAATTTTAGATCGATCGATTTTTAGCCGACAAAAACTAAATGAGAAATGAAGATCTTATTAATAGGAGCTCAACGATATAAAGGCAGTCGAAAATGAACGTCAGATGACAAACTTATGAATTTTTAACGGACTTTAACTATCTAAGTATGTTAAAATATAACTGTAAAATAAAGTCAAAATTAGCCAACGGGGTTTAAAAAAAGGTGTAGATCATGTCACTACCTACGCATGAATATAAAGAACGTCAAAAACGGAGGTCATATGCGAAAGTTACGGATTTTAGAAGATAATTAGTTTTTGGAGTAATCAGTAACTGACATGTGGCGCGATCTAATCCACTGCTTCTTCCCCATGCCTTGTCCCTAGATGGTGACACTTGGCACCTTAACACAACATGTTAGGAATCATAACATGTCGTGTTGGTCAGTTTCCAACCTAAAAATAGAGGCTCAAGTCACACCTTTGTAACTCTTCTCTGCCAAATCCACCAAAGCCTCAAGGCTTTTCTCTAGCCCTTCTTATGAGTTAGTAGTGAGTCCCGGAGTGCCAGAAGGCTCAGAGAAGAAGAGCTTTTGGCTCAGAAGTTCTACCCGCATAGAGCCCAATTCCTCACAAAACCCCCTTGTATGTGAGTTATGGTTACCCTTACTTTAAGTATAACTTATGTTTAAGTTCATTATCGTTATTATGAACCTATAAACAAGATTTATCAGTGATTCCAAGTCATTATACTGATTGATCTACATATAGGGATGATGTCTAGGCTGTGATTTTGGGAGGTGTTTAAAGTGGGCTTTCCAAACAGCATACTTCGTATTCCAAAGGAACCCTACCTCCGATATGATCCTACCTAGTTGTTCCTTACTAGACAGATCATGATGTAGACCTTGAGTTAATGATAAATCTAGACTAATAATTAGTCTCAATAAATATTAGACTAAAACTTAGTAATAATGATACTAGGTTTCGTCGAAGGAAAAAAAATTGTTAGAAGCGAAGCGCTGTCCAAATTTCGAGTAATCACTTTAACTAGTGAGTACATAGTTATTTTAATCTTACACATAGATATAAAGTATTTTATATTAATACATGTTATATTTTCTTATTATCCGCGTTCCTGATATTTATGCTAAATGAACGACTTATACATATTTTATGTGATTTAAAATGTATATGTATTTTTTTTTATACTTATAAATATATTGGGTAAAGATGGGTAGGCGGTGATGAGAGATAGGTGATGATAGAAGGTTTTTGATAACTAGGTGATGATAGACATATAATGATCAATATATGATAAAAGATGCGATATGATTAGGAGATCCCATAACCTTGACCTGCGATGCTGTGATGTTGCGATGTAGTCATCTACCGGAGTGTGGATGGCGACCACTGACTAATCTGAACAAAGTTATCTGGAAACACCAACAGGCTCATGACCTTTAGGTGGTGAATTACAAGTTAAGGCAATGCAGTAACTATGTATTCATGCGATGATACTCTAACCCTTTCTGGACATGTATTGGGGGGAGTAATCCCCGAATCAGTACTATCTATGTGATGTTGGCGATGATCCTTAGAAAAAGTCCATAGGAACAAACATATAAGGAAATGTGATGTAAGGAAATGAGAGGTAAATATGATATAGGAGATGACCCTCAAGGAAGAATAAATAAAGATAATGAGGATGGGTAATCGGGTTAATTGTTTGGCATGAAGTATTTGAAGAAGCAAATTAACTATATTATTATGGGTAAAAAACCCTATATACTCACTAAGTATTTCCAACCTTACCCATTCGCTTTATTTGTATCACAGGTATCGATGCGTTGATATATTACACCCACAGATTAAAGGAGATGTAAATCATTAGTGTAAATATTTGTAAAGTCCGTTTATACTTATGTTTCTATATTCACGATGACATCCCAATGTTTTAATATAAACAAAAATACAATTCTTCAGAAATGCTTTGATAATATATTTAGCATGTTTTCTAGGAACAAATTCCGTCATACTATTTTTCAAAAAGGATACTCTGATTTTCTGATAAGCATAAATAAAATTTTTAAAATGATCGTGAATTTGGGGATGTCACAGTTCGTATCAGAGCATTTGTGTAAGCAAACTAGGTGTAAGGAATTATTTCTAGACCTAAATTTAGAATGTTAAGGGATGGTCATGAAGAGTGTGGCTAATATATTTTTGGTAGTACACCTGAATAGACAGAAGCACTAGCTTATTTAGCGAAGATGCCTAAAATGCTTTTATGTGCTATATGATTTGTGATGTTTTATGATGTTATTATTTGATCGGATCTATGGTCTTTCACTCACGGATCTAGAAATTTTATGTGTTTCGATTTCTAAGCGGTTAATTACAATATTAGAACTAGCATGTAATTTTTTAGAGTAATAAGGAGTACTGCATGTCTAAACCTTCTCTATCTTTATCCTCGTCTCGATATACTGAACGCATGCTACCATGAACATAATGTCATGGTGAAAAGACTGATAGTGAACTCAGTAAATTTAAGAAATAAGAGGGCTTACGATAGTGAATGACACCTACAGAGATATCATAAGAATGGTATCTTTCCTTTAGAATATGTCTGATATAATAACAGTACATCTAGTGGAGTATAGTACATCCGAATGTACACATTTGATTGGCGGGATGATATAACGATTGGTGTAATTCCTAAAGTTGTCCTATCGTCTGGCGTTTCCATCACCAACCAGTTGAAGCAAAATTGATGATTAAAGATATGCAAGCAAGAAGTCCTAGTAGTCTCGGATAATTTTTATGATTATTTGCACACATTCGTATGTGTTAAATTGTTTTGTGATTTTAGGAAATAAGAACTTAGGTACTGGGAAACAATACTTGGGATGAGTATAAGTAGGTGTGAAAGGTATTAGAGGCCTATATTACTAGAAGCACAGGACTCGCACTTGGATCAGTGAAAGTCACAAGGTTACCAATGTGTTAGTAACTGATTCTGTTTTGTTTATGCATGTCATTACCATTGTTTTGGTAATGACTTAGATGAGGTTTTATTTTGACCCTAGTGGTCATATCAAGTCAAATATTGATAAGACGACTATGTTACCTGTTAGGGTGTAAAGTCACTCTTGCATGTCATGTGTGCTTACACCTTTTTATGTGTGTAATGAGTTGTCTTTATTTTATAAGGAAATGAGTGACACTTACTTTATCAAAGGAAGAACTTTAAAGTGACTAGTTTAGATAGAGAATTGTTGCAAACCCACTTGTACTCTTTCTAAAAACAAATGAGAGCCTAAACGGTTTATTTACTCTTGTGTTCTTCATGTTCATGATTAACACCACTACAATTGGTATTAGATTGGGTGTTCTTGATTTGATCAAGAATTGAGGAATGATGACATTTTTTATTTGGTGATTCTTCATTGTATTTTGATCTTCATGTTTTAGAGAGTTTTTGGATTCTTGAAATTGAACTATTCATTGATTCTATTTATGATTCAATTTTCGTCACGATAATTCAAGTGATTTCTGCTTTCTCTCTCTAGAAAAGCCATTCAAAATCACTCTATCTCTCTATAAAAACTCAAGATCTTATTGATTGATCAAAGATGATATACTTGCCTTATGACTCTTGGGTTGTGATCATTGAAGATGTCAAATACAAAGTCAACGCATATCAATTTTATGGATTATTGTTGAAAGGTGGGTTGATTTCATGGGATATTATGGTTTCTTATGGGGGTTTGAAGGATGATCATGGAAGATTGATTATTCAACCAGTTTCAAAGTTTGGACACTCGATTGAAATTTCCATGAGCGTGGTATCTTGGAGTTAATATTAGATGAAAGGAGAAGAAAGAGATTTGTTTGATAAGAAATACATTTCTCTTGTTGAAACCCAATGTGATCTCTATGCTTGTAAGTATGTTTAAGTACAACATTATGGAGTTCAATGTGATGTTCTTGATGTTCTTTAAGTTCATGATAAGAAGATTCAAGTTTATTCTCATGTAGATGAAAAAACTTTTTGCTTGATTTGAGTTCAAACCGATGATATTTTGGGTTCTTGTGCTCCGTTTGAAGGACTGATTCCTTATCGAAAACCATCAATCCATGAAATTCACAAATATCAAACTCCAAAATATATGATCCAAACTTGT